CGGCCGCGCATGCCGAAATCCTTCAAAAGCCTCAGGCTTCAGCCTTGGAAGATAGTTTTGAAGTCTCTCGGGGGCCGTTTGGGAGCCTATTTGGGCGTCTTGGGGGTTCTTAGGAACCCTTTGGGAGCCCCTTGGAGAGTTTCTCGGGGGCCTCTTGGGGCTTCCTGGGGGCTTTTCGGGCGTGAAGTTCGAATCGTCGGTTCGTGTTCCCTTCTTGGGCCGTCTTGGATCCCTCATGGGGCGTCTTGGGCACCTCGTGGGCCGTTTCGAGACAGTCCTCAAGCAATTTGGGCCGTCTTGGAGCGTCGGCAGCTCGAAAATGCGAGAACCCCCCAAACATGTGGAACAACCTAAGAGGAATCAATGATGTGTGCTTCGTGGGGCCCTCTTGAGGGTCCTCTTGGGGCCTCTCTTGGTTCGTCTTGGGGCCACCTTGGGCGTGTAGGAGTTTTTTGGGGCCGTTTTGGCGGCCTCGGCAGCGTTGCCGTCTCCCTTCCTCCCCCCCTTCCCCTGCCAAGCCGCCCCAGCACGCTTTCTTCTGCGGCGTGGGAGCGGCCCTGGCAGTTGCAGGCCCCCCCCCCTGCACCTCCTTTCCCCACCAGGGCCGCCCCCCCCCCCCCAGCAGAGCTGAAGCTCAGGCTGTAGCTCTATCTAGCTCACACGCCGGATCGCCGGATGATCACGCCATGTTAGCACCATCCACCATCCATCTGCCTCCTGCCTCCTGCTCCTTCTCCTCCTCCTCCTCCTCCTCCTCCTCGTCCTCCTCCTCCTATAGAGTTCGCCAGGGCGCCATCTTGTCCTCCTCCCCCTCCTCCTCCCCCTCATCCTCCTCCTCCTCCTCCTCCTCTGGAGTCGAGCCCGGGTCACAAGCATGGGAGGCTTGTATGATGCCGCTACACTACGTGCGCCACAGATGCAGGTTTCCTCTGGGAACCAAGCGGATACCGCTAGACCGCGGCTGGCAAGACTTCTTGAAGTCTGGCATCGTCCCCTGTCCACCTTCCTTGCGCTCGGGTCGGTGGGTAAACGGAGGCCTTTCCCGTTCCTGTCGGCCCGATCGCATCCAGCTGCAGAGCCATGCCTGGTGCAGGGAGCCCCGAGAAGCATCGCCTGGACTCGGAGGACTCCCCCAGCTGCAGCGGCCGCTCGACTTCAAGGACGCGCTCTTCCAAGTCCCACTCGAGGGCGTCCGAGCGCCGCAAGGCGCCCCCAGCGGACCGTGGACGGCTGGTGCGCCCTGGTGCTGCTGCGCCTCCTGCTGGCCACGCTGGTCCTCCTGGCCGTCGGGGAAAGGGCGACAGGAAACCCTCCAACGAGGAGAGCTGGCGCCAGCGGGCAGCTGATGCGGCCCTCGAGATGCAGAGAGACGGTATTGACCTCGACATGCTGGCCACGTTCCCATCGCGGGCGCTGGTGCGGCTGGAGTCGGGGAAGCTGCCGCCAGGGACGCTGGCGCGGGAGCCAGGGACGCTACCTGCCCTGACGCTGGCGTCGGTGGTGACCCGTGGAGGACCTACCTGGGCAACGGCGGTGCCCCATCGGGTCACGCGGCGGCACTGGGACCCAGCCGTGGCCACCCTCCCGCCCATGCTGCTCCTCAGCGTGACCTGCGGCATGGGGCAGCTCATGCGGCCTCTCCTGCGGCGATGGCGTCTGGCGATGCTGGTGGCGCTGCGGATGCTGTCATGTCCAACTCCGCCCAGGCCGCCCTCCTCCAGCAAGTGCAGGCGGCCATCACCTCCGCGGTCACATCCGCGGTCGTTGCCAGCGTCGACGCCACCCTCACGGCGGGCCTGGCGCAGATACAGGGGGTCATGGAATCGCGTGTCGGCGTCGTCGAAGGGCGCCTCCATGGGGTTGAGCAGAAGCAGATCGACATCGAGAGGCAGCTGCGGGCGGACATTGCGCAGCTCCGCGAGCAGATGGGCATCATGGCGAGAGTGGAGCCCTGTGCTGCACCTGCTGGCCCTGACTGGGATCGCCCTCCAGACCTTTCTGCCGTGGTTGTACGGTGCAAGGAGGAGCTTCCCGCGGCGACCTTCAAGCAGGTCATCGACCCCCTCCTCGCGGACGCTGGCATGGGTCCTGACTCGTTCGTGGTGGAGGCGGAGCCCCTCGGCAAGCGCTGCGTCTTCCGCTTCAAGGGGCCTCCCGAGCTCGGGGCCAGACGGGCTGCCAAGGTGCTGGGGTGCATGCGCCTCGGCCGTGGTGAGTGGCGCAAGCCGCGCGCCACGACGCCTGCTGGCCACGATGTGGACGTCTTCGTGGCGCCCGACCAGAACCGCAACCAGGTCATGCACGAGCTCACGCTCAAGAAGCTCGCCATCGCGCTGGGGCGTGTCATCGGCGACGGGCACCGCATCTTCAACGATAAACAGAAGTTCTCCATCTCGTCCCAGTGGAAGTCCTTCCTCCGCCTCTCCATCGACGGCCCCAACGCTACCCCAGCGGTGGCCTGGTCCCCGTCTGCGCTCACGGCACTCGGGCTGCGACGTGAGGACCTGGCACCGGCGGTCGAGGCGGCCTTGGCTCCTGGTGATGATGATTGGTGTCTTTAGCACGTTCGTCAAGCTCTTTGCCGCCCCGATGAGCAAGGGGCTCACCTTCGCCACCTGGAATGCAAGAGCATTCTGTCACCACAAGGCGAACGTGGCGGCACGCAAGAGCAACTACCTTGGGAATGCACTCCGAGCAGGGGCTATCGCTGGTATGCAGGAGGTCCACGGGTCGGCCGCGCGCTTGCGTATGTTGATAGATCGCTTGGGGATGGACTACTAGATGTTCTACTCCTTCGGTGACAATGCTGATGAGTCCCTCGGAAGCGTTGCCACCATCTTCCCATTCAAGATGCGCGCGGGCCTGGACCTGCGCAAGACGTTCTCCATCAAGGCTCGGGTGATCCGCGTTGCGGCCACGATCACGGACGGACCATGCACTGGCTACACTCTGAAGCACTGGAACATTCATGACCACGACCTCTCCCGCGAACAGGTTCGGCGTGTCGCTGGCGAGATCCAGGCTGATCTTCGCGACATGGAAGTGGATCCGAGGAGGCGATGTGTTGTGAACGTGGGCGACTTCAATTACGGCGAGAATGTCGAGGTGGAGGACCCCCTGGTCCCTGGGGGCGGGCGCAGGGCCGCCTCGCACCCCCGCGGCCGCGCATGGGCTCACTCGCTCAGTGCTGCGACGGAGGTGGTCCCTCACAAGCCGACGCACTGGCACCCAGGCAGACAGATCGCCACCCCGATCGACAAGATTTGGATCGGTTCTCCACGCTGGTTACTCACGCAGACCTTTCAGCATGGGCAGGTGCATGGGGAACCCCACGAGATGCACCGCGACGGGCTTTCGGACCACGCGATGTTCTCGGTAGCGTGGACTCCCCGCCCACCGAGAAAGAGACCTACCACGGGCGTCATCAACCCTGTCCCGTCCTTCGTCTCGGAGAATCCGCTGTTCGGCGAGATGATCGGGAAGTGCGAGAACGCGGTCCCCCTGGATGGTCTCTCTCCCCCCGATCGAGTGCACTACCACACGAAGATCCTGCAGACGGCAGCGGCCGCCACCCGTGATGCCATTCTTCGTGGTGAGCCTGGTCTGTGGTCGCCGACGGCGTTGATATGGAGACAACTTGGTCGCGCGATGTCGCGTCAGGACACTCGGACGGCGGAGACCCCCCTACGACAGCATGCATGGACAAGCCAGATGATCGAGCTCCGCCATCACCCAGGTCTTGGCAGAGACCAGGTGGCGCTCCTCGACCCGCAGGGATTCTCTGGTCGGCACCGCCTGTTGCAACACCGTGAGATGCAAGCCCGACTCCGCCAGCATCAACATGACATAGACGGGGAACGGCACGAGTCCAACAAGGCAGCGATGGTCAGGTAGCAGAGGGCCCTACGTCGTCGCGCGGCCATGTGGGCGCCGTCGTCGGCCCGACGTTTCCTGGGGGGCATCGAGCTGGACGATGGCGCGGTTGCGCGATCGGAGCAGGACATCCAGAGAGCGCTCGCGCAGTACTGGCGAGGCGTCTTCGGCGACGACGTGGTCAAACGGAAGCAGTCCGCGGAGGAGATGATGCGCAACCTAGCCACCAACCCGAACGACGCCCCCATGACCTTCCAGGACGGCATCGTGGTACCCCTCCCCCGAGATGCTCCTCGTGCAGTCCATCGTCGACGGGAATTCCAGGATGGATATCTCCGCCGCTATGGCATCCAGGAAGCTGACTGGGCCTCGATCGAGCCCCCCCTCGGCACACACCGTGGCATTGGCTCTCCGCAAGGCCCGCAAGTCAGCCCCTGGCCCTGACGGTCTCGGTGCTAAGGCCTGGCTCGCCACGCCGATGGGGGTCGAGACGCTGGCGGAAGCACTGGCACGGCAGCTTGAGGGCCTCCCCATGCGCCAGGAGTGGAACTACACCGCCGCCGTCTTCCCCGCCAAGGGGACGCGTGCTGATGACCCTCATGAAGTCCTCAGGCGCGCCGGCGAGACTCGGCCACTGGCGCTGGAGAACACTTCCAAGAAGGCCGTCATGTGGGCCCTCAACTCATGCATGAAGAAAATGGCGGAGCGGCACTGTGTGGACACGCGGCGCGGCTTCATATGCGGGCGCAACTTTTGCGACAACATAGTCGAGCTGGACTCGCACTCCCGCGTGCTGCCCATGGCTGCGGGAAGTGCCGACTCTCCCTTCCTCATCTCCTTCGACTGGGGCCAGGCCTTCCCGAGCATCGCGCAGGACTGGCTCTTCGGCTCGCTGCGCGCCATTGGCGCTCCCCTGGGGCCCCAGGAGAGGCGGTAGGTGGGGAAGACACGCGGCCCCCCAGACGCTCCAACCTCCTCCTCCTCCTCCTCCTCCTCCTCCTCCTCCTCCTCCTCCTCCTCCTCATGCCTCCTTGGCCCCTTCCTCGTTGCCCCCTCCCCCTCCCTCCTCCTCCCGCCTCCGACTCCTCCTCCACTCCCCTCGCCACCTCCCCCAAGGGGGGGGGGAGGAGGAGGGCCTCAAGGTCCGCGACATCGAGGGCGCCCAGGACGCGCCCCACCCTGCGGCCCCCTCGCAGCCGCGCCACTGCAGGGATCACCGGGCATTCTGTCGCGGGCGCGGCACGGCGGAGGAGGGCGGGCCCGGGCGCGCGGCGGCCGTCGGCCCGCCCCGGCGTCGGGCCTCGCGTCGCGGGCCTGCCGGGCCCGCGTTGCGGGGGGCCGCCGCGGGAGGCTTCCCGTCGCGCCGCCCGGGCCCGCCGCTCGGAAGGCAGGCCCCGGGAGGGGCCCCGGGAGGGGCCTGGGGACAGATCTTGAGCGGCCTTTTGGGGTCGGAGAGGAGGGCCGCCGCTGCATCAACTCTGCGCCCCCTCCCCGCCCCCCCCCCGGGCGGAGGGTTCCCTATCATCCTTTGGCCGACCGAGTCTCTTTTCCGCGAGGGGCCGAGGGGGACGTAGGGGTCGTGATTATTGGGCTTGTTGGGCTGTGAAGGGTGTTGCAGTTTCGAGCCGCCGGACGAGGATGCGGCATGCGCATGCACACGCGCACACATGTGTGTCAAGGTATATTCAATCTGACACGGGATGCTGTTCTGTCCAAGGTCGGTGATGATGCATGGGCTGCAGCTTGAGGCTGGCGGGTGCGCAAGTGTGGGCTGCAGCTTTGGGCGGCTGGGTGATCAAATTTAGGGGGTGCAGCTTTGGGCGGGCGGTGAAGATACGTGGGTCGCTGTTTTGGGCAGGTTGGAGCAGGTGTGCGGGTTGCAAACTAAGGCGAGCAGAGAGTGTATATAATATGCGTATATGCATATGTGTGTATGTATGTATGTATGTATGTATGTATGGATGTATGCATGTATGCATGTATGCATGTATGTATGCTTGTATATATACATGTATGTATGTTTGTATGTTTGTATGTATGTATGCATGTATGTATGTATGTATGTGTGTATGTATGTATGTATGTATGTATATTTTTATGTATGTATGTATGTATGTATGTGTATGTATGTATGTGTGTATGTATATATATATATATATGTATGTACGTACGTACCTACGTACGTACGTATGTATGTATGTATGTATATGTATGTATATGTATACTCTTGTATGGCATGCTGAAATTGTATATATATATATACACCCGGAGCAAGGTACATACATATCCCGCAGCCTCACCGTATCCCTCCTTTTTGCTTTCCATCTTCTCTCATTATCCTCCTTGTCATCCTCCGCGTTGTACATCCCATCATGTCTCTCCCTTTCCCTTCTCTGCCGAAGGCGATCCGGCGCGTAGGGACGCAGCCCATGTCCATCTACGGCCCCGAGAGCAACAAAGACCGAAGGGAGGGAACTTCGCCAGAGAGGGACGGGGCACTCTTGCTGGAGGGCATGTAGAGAGGGAGGACGAGTTCCCGCCTTGCTTTTGTTCCTTCTTCTGTTAATTAAAGCTGTGCGCGGCCCGCTTAGCTTCGACCGGAAGAGGCTCGCTCTCGACCCGCGGATCAAAAATGCAGAGAGTGAGGGAGGCATGGGGTGACGGGAGTGAACCTTCTTCAGGTGACCACCTTGCTGCACGCCTTTCGGGCGTCGCGTGTGGCCAGGCCCAGGCAAGAAGGCAACCTATCTCGTGCCGCAGGCAGCGATGAGCATGCCGCGCGAAGACCCCACATCGCCAGACAAGCTTCAAATCCCCAGGGGGAGCAGAAGGAGATGGGGATTGATTTGAGGAGCGGCGGGAGTAGTGAATGGACAGACTTGAATGGCCACCCAGACCTTCGCCCTTTCAGTCGGTGGCTGCGCTTCACGTCGTAGGACTCCAGACCTGCCTACAGTCAACGCGCCTAGTAAGGACGCGCGCCTTCATCTAGGGTACCCTTGTGTCCTTGCCTCTGAGGCCCGTCCTTGCCATTATCACTGGTCGCCCGCCGCCTTAAAAAACCCAACTTCGGCCTCCAAGGCTCTTGCGTCCTTATCACCCGTCTTTAATACACGTTTGGATTGTACCCCAACACATTTTCTGTGAGCGGAGCTGCGAGGGCTTCTTCTCTTGGGCCGCGGGCCGCCCAAACAGTAAATATGCTCCTCTCCGCCTCATTGTACACTTGCCTCTCCTGCTGCCTGCCTTGCCGTACCTTGGCATTGGTTTCACTGTATACCGAAGCTGTATCATACTGCTCGAGTGTGAAAGGAGCGCGCCGGGGAGCGCGTGGGCGGCCCGTGTCGTCGTCCGTCCCTGGCCGGCCTCCTCACTTCCTATACTTGAGTACTGTTGCTTAACGGATAACCTACAGTATCATCGATGTCTCATCCCGTATCCTTTACCACTGAGCATCGTCTACATGAGACCTTAAGTCCTTTGACATCTTACCCCGGTTCTCAGAGAAAAGACTGGTTATCAGCCGAAACCCGCGACCAAGTCGCAATAGGGATGAACTATGATGAGACAGCCGAATTGCCCGCTGGATCGCACGTTGTGCATCGAGACGGGCGAGAATATCAGGACAGCGGCCCGGGGGAGGGCCGCTCTCTTTCTTTTTCTTATCCCACTCGGATTTCTCGTGGAGGGGGTGCGGGAGAAGTCATATATTTGTCAGTAGATGATTCCCCCACTCGTATTCCGATCAGGGATCGTGAACAGACCCCAGACCCGATAAGGCGGGACGGCACAGCCGTAAATGCTAGGCGAAGAGCCTTCTCATCTTGGGTTGCTGAATCCCCACAACAATACATTCCAGCCCGATTGCCGTGGGTTCTCTCGAGCCGGCCGCTGGCCCAGCCAGTGGGTCGCGAGACGCAAGGGAGTCCGGCGGTGTGTTCCCTTCCGTCCCAGACGGATGGGGTCGTGCGCGTGGGACTCACCCCATCCCGATAGCCTTGAACGGGCAAGCCGGTCAAGACAGCGACGAACAGTTTGATGACGAAGACGATATCAACTCCATGGAGGCAGACATAGAGTATGCCAATTATCATGTATCACCAAGTCGAAATTTGTCGCCAATAAGCGCTGCTGACCACCCCGTCTCAGACGGAAGGTCATCCCCTGGGCAAGAAACCTTTGAGTACGATCACCTGGAAGCCCTTGGGAAGGCGCTCGCATAATCAAATTTAGACATCGCGCTCAGTGACCTGCCGCCCCAGGCGGCCGAGGTAGAAATGAGTTCCCAATTTCATGTGAAGCATGACCGGGAGACCACGGGTCGAACGCCCGCTCCTCAACATAAGAAGCACAGGAACGAAGATTATGATTTGAATGATTCCCCGCTTCAGGATCTGTTCTATCGAAATGCCGTCGCCCCAGGCGATTGGCAACCGTCAGTGCCCGCGGTAGTTGAGGACGACGAGATGTTCAACCCCCCAGCAACGCTCACTGAGTTGGTCAAACAGGATGAAAGGGATGAGGAGCTTCGAGAGGTGGCCAAGCCACCGGAAAGCACGCGCGTTCGCCCTCGATCGTCTGCATCGAGCAGGGGAAGACCCAAGATGCCACGACTGTTGCACGATCGACTTCGAGGAGTAACAGTACCGTATCCATGAGTGAGGCATGCTGGAACCGAGGCCCCGACTGCCCGCCCCAGGCGGAGAACAGGTGCCCGGGGAAAGCTCACAAGCAGGGCGGGCCCTGCAAGCGCCCAGTCCGTGGAAACTGTTCTGACGCGTGTCCAAACTGTGGCAATCAATGGTTGTGTGAGGATTGCTTTCAGATGGAAGAACATAACTGCCAATATCTTCTCATCCAAGCCATGCAGGATCAGGCCAGATTCATTGAGGCCAAGAGACAGCAAGAAATCATGGTCCTGGAGGCTCAGAGGGCTGAACAGGCACGACTGGATCGAGAAGACATGAACGCAGTTATTGCCGATGTTCGGAGGAAGCTCGAGGCTGATGGAGTCGCCCTGACCCAGGCTGCCACTAGGCGGAACAAGACTTGATGGAACAAATGTCTGATCAGTCCGCGGCTGCCCAGCAGCGCGCGGAAGAAGAAGCCGAGAACAGGGTTGTTGAGGCGATATCTTCTGAGCGACAGGCTGCCGTGACGGCAAACAGTCAATCTGTAGATGCCGAGTCCGCCCGCGCCGCTGTTGCGGCGGCGAGAATAGAAGGGGGGGGGCCGCGATAGCCAGGGCAGAACATGATAAACAGGAGCTCCGAGACCAACTTAGCGCTGCCAGGTTGGAAGCGGCCAATGCACAGATTGTAACTGCGACGATAGCTGATCAGAATAATCAATACCGAGAAGAGCTCAAGTTACATGAACATGCTGAAGCATCACTTCAGCGAATGCAATTAGGTGACGAAAAGTGCCTACCGGCTAAGCCGGCGGGGGCGAGCAGACGACCATCGCCGGCGGCCCAGCCGTCTGGTGCGACGCCGTCGCAGGCCCAGCCTGGCTCGGCGCCCCTGGAAGGCGGAATGCCGCCAATGTCGCGAGTGAGAGCTGCTCAGCAGCCGCAGCCCGCGAGAGGGGGCGATGAAGAGAGTTGTTCAATATGCTCGAGTCCGAAGATCGGAGCATGCGCTACTTGCGGATTGCCCAGCTGTAAAAACCGTTTTGACACGAGCACCAGACGTTGCGTCACTTGTACTCAACGAAGGAGTTTGCCCGTGGAACAGGCGGAGTGGGATGGGCAATGGGAGCGACGTGGCGCTGATCCCAACTTTCGGGCCCAACAGCAGAAGCTCCTTGACGTTTTTTACGCGGATAAACGTAACATGCAGCGGATGAAGGAGCAAGCTGAGGAACAGCTTCGACTGAGCTCAGAAAGGTCAGCTGCCAACCCTCGAGAGAAAGATGAGGCGCTGGCACGCGCAGCTGCATCGGGGAAAGAAGTGATGGAGCTCAAGGTTGTCATCGCTGAATCCTTGAAAGAAAGAGCGCAACATGTGCAGTCTCAATCGCAATCTGCCGACCGCGAGGCTGCCGCGATCGAAAGGGCAAAGGAGATGGCGAGAACTATGGAAATGGAATCCTTTCAATATTTCGGAAAGGAATTGGATAAGCTGCCCAGGTTCAGTCTGTTCGACATGCCGCAGCTTTCACAGGGGGCGCCCGCGAGGCCAATCATGCAACCCCATTATACTGCCCCTGGCCCCGCAAACGAAGGCCCGGCCAAGCCTGGCATCTCCGGGAACTATGTACCCATCAATGCAGAGTTGACAGGTAGCACTGAAGACATGACCTTCATTAACTATCGCCCTTTCACCAAGGCGGGGCCAGCGAGACCGACAACGGCCCAGCCGTCTGGTGGAGGCAAGGGCCATGCGCCAGCGGCCGAGCCGCATGGCGGGGCAGGACAAGACAAGGATGGGGATGATCATAGCACCGCACCGAGCACTGAGATCTTGTCAGCACTTGCCGATGCCATTCGAGACCAGTCGGAGAAGCCGCCCCCAGGGGGTCCGGGGGCTCCTGGGCCCCTAGGCGGCGGAGGCGGTCGTGGCGGACCTCAGGGCCCAGGAGGGTCAAATGACCTGGGAGGTCTTGACGAGAGTACCCCTCTGGATCAGTGGAGACAGGTTGGGAACAATCCGAAGGTTGATCTGATGGACATTCCCGATGTTACAAACATACGGGAGTGGCGGATGCATGCGGTTCGTGCTGTTGCTGGATCGTCGCCTGAGATTCGGGAAGCACAGCTCTGGATCATGGAAGCTATGGACCCCTCTGTGACTAAAGAACAGCTCAGACATCCGGGTCGGTTCCAACGTCTAGACATCATGATTGCTACTAACCTGATTGGGAATTTAACAACATGCGTAGGAATCGCAGTCTTTCCACTCATCGCATTCACTTCCTCCAACAGATCAATCGCATGGAATATGGCGCCCAGAATGAGCAGAGACTCTTAAGCGGGCGCGAAATGATACGAGCCATGTGCTATTGGTGTTCAGTCAGATCGGAGTTAGGCCAACATCGCATTTCGCGTGGCATCGTCAAGGTAGTTATTGACCCCAATCGCCCAGATGCTGATTTGTACCATTTCTATAATGAGTGGACAGATGTGCATCAGCAACTCTACGGCGTACGACCTCCGTCTGATGAGATGCGAGCTTCGATCCATGCGCACTTCATTGAGCAATGCAGGAATCCGCAGAAATTGGAGCTAGTCTGCCAACTTTCTGATTTGTCCACGGACAAGCTAGGAGAGGGCATGCAAACCTATGAATGGCTCATAACCCAGATTGAATGGGTCATGTTGCGTGAGAAGGAAGAATGGAACATCAGTTAGCCTGAGTGTACTTTGAAGCAACGTGCTCAACAGACGCGATTGGGCGGCGGTGGAGGCAGCGGCAACGACAACCGCCGAGGCCTCAACGGCAAAGCCGCTGCGGCAGAA